TAATTTTAATTAAAGAAAAGGTAAAAGAATCACCTCTGTAAAATCAGGATGGTAAGTACTTTACAGAATAACAAAAGACTCAAAAACACAGAGTATTTCCCTTCTAGGAAAAACTTTAAAGTTACAAAAACAGGGATAAAGCTCCCTCTTAGCCCAGGGAAAATTCACAAGCTAAAACAAAAGCTAATCTAACACATTTTTTCTGCTATTACTTACTATTTCTGCAAGACTAGATGCTTAGTTCAGATATAGCTAGGGAGATTTATTTTCCCCTGCCCTGTTTCCTGGCTCTCTCCAAGAGACACAGACAAAAAACCTTCCCCCACAGATTTGAAAGTATCTTCTCCCCTTATTGGTCTTTTTGGTCAGGTGCCCCCAGGTTATCTGAGCTTCTTAACCCTTTACAGGTAAAAGAGGAATTAACCCTTTACAGGGTAAAGAGGGATTTTATGTTACCCTTAGCTGTATGTTTGACACCATGGCTTTATATAGAGGCAATATGATATTTTGTCTTATTATTTATCCCTTTCCTAATGATTCCCAACATTCTCTTCACTTTTTTGACTGCCACTGCACCTTGAGTGGATGTTTTCAGAGAACTAACCACAATGACACCAAGATCTCTTTCTTGAGTGGAAACAGCTAATTTAGACCCCAAAACATTGTGTTGGGATTATGTTTTCCAGTGTGCATTACTTTGCATTTATCAACACTGATAAATGTTGCACAAGGGGTCACGTGCCCACACCCAGATTTAAGTGCTTGATTTGTACTGAGCAGGCTCACATGGACTGAGCATGCTCAGTAACGTCTGCTGAAGCCACTGTCCTCACTCTGCCCTTACTTGTGCCCCCACCCACTATTGGCAGGTCTGGGTCATCTGTGCCTGCAAGACCTACAGCTTTCCATTCTGAAGGGCTGTCAAAGCTGAAATTCTGTGGGGCACTGAAGAGTGGCATGTTGATGAGATCCTGCAATCTTTGTTTTTTTCTCTTTGCAACTTTTGTTGCTATTTTTCTTTTGTTTCTTTTCTCCTCTGGCATTACCTAAGCTGCCTTCACTTCTGACACCATGTCAAGTACTGGGTATGGCCTGGTTACAGAGCTTCCACCCCAGATAGATACAAGAGATGTGTCCTCTTTAAGACACTTTAAATTCACTGCCAAGTTGGGTTGTTGTGGGCCCAGGTGAGGTATGTTACACAGAGCACCACTTCGTGGCTAAACAGTATAATACAGTTTAGCATTCCTTTACATGTTTCAACCCTCCAATCATGGCTTATCCAGATTTATAGAAATCATTCACCTTGCATATGGTTACCTCAAAAGAGCATCAAGATGGGAAGCCCCAGACAATTTCCTTTGGAGGCAGAACGTTGACACCTGCACAGAACTACCACTTATACTCTGGGAAAGTTTCTGGCTCTGAAGTGGGCCTTAACATAAAGGTTCAGAGATTACCTCTTCTATGAACCTTCATTTGCAATCTGTAGTGATAATAACCCACTAACATATGTGATGACATCAGCTAAACTAAATGCTTCTCATCATTGATGGTTTCAGAGCTCTCAGGTTTCAACTTCACCATGAAATGTCATCCTGGGAAAGTGAATGTTGATGCCAACTATTAATCCAGGGAACCTTTACTATGGAAGAATACATAAGAGATAGATGCAAACCAGAGTATGATCCTGAGAGCTTTTCAGATATTGTTCAAGCTGTGAAAACCCAAAATGAGGGTCGTGGAGTGGATTTCAGCAATTTCGGCAAATATATCTACTCTGTAAGCAAATTAATATAGCATATTGAATTCCATAGCAGATACAATATGTCCTGAGGAGCTAAAATCAGTTCAAGCAAGTGATTCTGCAAAAAGCTCCTAAGGAAAAATATTTGGATTCCCAGAATAAACGAGGTTCTCCTTGAAAACTGAATTTTGTGAATAAGGTTCTTCTTCCAGTGACTGTTGCATATACATTCTACTGCAGGTGTATGTGCACCCAGGGCACTGACTTCAGAGACTAGCCAGCAGTACGAGCAGGCAGCACCTGTGCCCCTCTCTCCTTGTGTTCTCTGCCAACTCCCTTTCAGTTCCTTCTCACTGCCCATGGTGACCGTTGTATCTCCCCTGACTTTCCCTTCATTTAGCCAGTCTTCCATCGTTTTAGGGTATACAGTGAGTTAGTGTTCAATAATTTACTTTGTTAGTAATTACAGTTTGATAGTTTTCTGGGAGATTTTACTTTGATAAATTCCCCAGGATTTGAACAACGTGCCACCTTCAGGGCTGTTTTCCATGTCACAGACAGGCACGGCAGTTGTTTGATGTCTCCAGGTGAGGGACATGTTAGGGACAATGCTCCATTTGCATCTCCATTTTACCCTCCTGTGTCTGCTCCTGTACCTGTATGGGATTTAAATCTAGTCCCCTCCAAAGTCATGGGCTCCCCTTTTGAGCCTATGGCTACTTCATTATCACTATTGTCTATGAAAATGGCCTTTGTGGTGGTCATCACTTCTGCAAGGAGAGTTTCCAAACTTCAGGCTGTCTTGGCTGACCCTCCTTTCACAATCTTCCCTAACAAGGTTTCCCTTAGGGCACAGCCTAAGTTTATGCCTAAAGTAGTGTCAGCCTTCCATCTAACCAACAATTCATCTCCCAGTGTTTTTCCCCAAATCCCACTCCCCCATGTGTCTAAAGCCGAGGAAACACTTCAGACTTTGGATGTTTTTAGACCCCAGTCACTCTACTTGGACCTCACCAGATCCTTCAGGATCTCCCACAAGCATTTTGTAGCCTATGCTGAGCGAATCAAAGGTCAATCAGTGTCATCTCAGTGACTCTCGGACTCGATTTCTGACAGCATGAAGCTCTGCTGCAATCTTGCGAAAGTCTCTCCTCCACAGAGAATAATGGCTCACTCCACCAGGGCTTGCTCCACTTCATCAGCTTCTCTGAGCAATGTTCTAATAGCTGATATACGCAAGGCAGTGATGTGGTCATCTGTGCATACCTTTTCCACTCATTATGCTGTCACTCAAGCCTCCTGTGTTACAATCTCAAGTTAGTGTTATGATCTCTTTTTATATAATCCAAAGTTCCTCCACCTATAAGGGAACTATATGTGCACAATCACTCCAAAGAGAAAAGCAGGTTACTTACCTGTACTGTAACTGTTCTTTGAGATGTCTTGTGCACATACACATTCTATGACACTCCCACTTTCCCCAGTGTAACAGAATGGAGAAGGAGGTGGTGGACACACACCGTTTTTGTCTCATCTGGGCAAGAGGAGAGATGGGGTGCATGCACCGCCTATTGGTACTGCTAGGAAAGGTCTCCAATTCGAGTGCATTGAGTGTGCACACACCTGCAATGGAATGTATATGTGCACAACATATCTTGAACAGTTGTTACTGTACAGGTAAATAACCATTTTTGTAACAAATACAACAAGTTTGATGACATAGTATATATTGTACAATCACTCACTGTAGAGATATGTTTATGGAAGAATATAATTTAGAGAGCATCCTTCATAAGGGACAGTATTATGAATATAGGAATTTACAGATGTGTCTTGGAATCTGGGGTTGAGAACACAGTGTACCTGTGCACAGCAGTTCACCATAGAAGGTCTCTAGTTTCTTTTATTAGAAGTTTTATTCCTTTCTCATTCACTGGTTCTTTCTTTAATGAACTGAAAGATCACTACATGGTGGCAGAAGTGTTGAATGAGAAGGAGACTGCTGTCATCTTGAAGTTAACTCCTGTGTTTACAATTGTGTTTACATCTCACCAGCGAGAGATAGAAGAAAAGGAGAAGCAGCGCCAGCATGAGAGAGAAGAAAAGGAGAAGCAGCGCCAGCATGAGAGAGAAGAAAAGGAGAAGCAGCGCCAGCACGAGGAGCGCCAGCGAGAGAGAGAAGAAAAGGAGAAGCAGCGCCAACACGAGCAGCGCCAGCGAGAGAGAGAAGAAAAGGAGAAGCAGCGCCAGCACGAGGAGCGCCAGCGAGAGATAGAAGAAAAGGAGAAGCAGCGCCAGCATGAGGAGCGCCAGCGAGAGATAGAAGAAAAAGAGAAGCAGCTCCAGCGAGAGAGAGAAGAAAAGGAGAAGCAGTGCCAGGGAGAGATAGAAGAAAAGGAGAAGCAGCTCCAGCACGAGGAGCACCAGCACAAGAGAGAAGAACAGGAGAAGCAGCGCCAGCATGAGAGAGAAGAACAGGAGAAGCAGCGCCAGCACGAGAGAGAAGAACAGGAGAAGCAGCGCCAGCACGAGAGAGAAGAAAAGGAGAAGCAGCGCGAGCATGAGAGAGAAGAAAAGGAGAAGGCGCGCCAGCACGAGAGAGAAGAAAAAGAGAAGCAGCGCCAGCACAAGCGAGAAGAAAAGGAGAAGCAGCGCCAGCACGAGGAGCACCAGCGAAAGAGAGAAGAAAAGGGGAAGCAGCGCCAGCGAGAGATAGAAGAAAAGCAGAAGGAATGCCAGTGACAGCAGGAGGCCGAAGATAAGGAAAGGGCACATCAACAGCAGATTGAGCTGGAGAAACTGAAGGTAGGTAAACCCACTCCTTAGGTACTTGTCCCAGTGGGTGGCAAAGATTCCAAATTTCTTCCTCACTTTAGGTAGGTGGGGGGCCTGGCTATGTTTCTAAATGCTTTTGAGATGGGGTGTGAATTGAATGAGGTGGGAAAAGGGGATATGGCATGGTACCTGGCTCCACAACTGTCTGCGAAAAAGGCCTGGGACATTTTTAGCCTTATGGGAAGGGAGGGTTGCAGATATTATAAGTGATGTGAACAAGGTTTGTCGCTAAAGTTTAAAGTGACGCCTGAAGCATCTAGAGAAGGAAAACAGGAACATAACGTGTGCTGTGGTTTCAACCCAAATTAGGGATTATTTAAGGAGATGGAGATAGAGGGTTTCCATGGTCCATGAGGCCTATGAATTAATGTGTTTAGAACAATTCTCTAAATGCTTCACCCCACCCAGACCTGAAATCCAGGAAATAGACAAAAATCCCAAAGATGCAGGCATAGCTGGGACATGGGCCAACCATTATGCAGATAGTCGGCGTGGATTTGATAGAAAACCTAATAGGAAGTGAATGGGATCAGGGGGCAGGGAGCAGGCCCAAGCCTAGACCCACACTAGTGAAACCACCTCCCAGAAGCCCTGAGATGGGTGGGAGAAAGTGATGTGCCATATGTGACCAGCAGGGTCACTTTGCCCAGGTTTGCCCACTCTGCCCACGCAGGGCTGGGAAAACCAGCTGCATCTCAGCCCCCAGTTAGCTCCAGGCCTGTAAGGGACCATGTGAGACAAACTGCAAATGGGACAGCTGACAGTTAGGAGGGGGTGGATGTCTCTGCCAGTACCAATGACAATCCAGTTACCTCCCTGGGGTGTGCAACCAAATACCTGAGGAGACGGAGGGTGAGACAGCTGCTGGGGAACTGTCCGTGAATAGATAATCGTCCAGACAACAGGTTTCTCCTTAAGGTGTAGCTTCAAAAGAATAGGTCTGGAGGTGCATAAGTTGCTTTCCACACCTCTTGAGTATTTCCTAGGAAACCCCTTTTAACTAGGGGCTCTGGAACAGGGGGGACCAGGGGGCCATGGCGAGCGACAAGGGAGAGGGGACGGAGAGGAGTGAGCAGGGGGTGGAGTCTCAGGGGAAGAAACAGAGCGAGGGTGGGACCTCACAGGGAAAGGGGTGGGGCTATGGTTCGGGCACTGGTGGCCCCCGCCCCGCACTTCTAGGGAGCTTCCTGCACTACTGACCCCAAGGTTTATATTAGTTATGTCTCCTAGAGGAGTTCCCTACAATCCT